CCCCCCGTGGCTAAAAAAGGCTGCCTGCTTCATCCTCAGAGAGCTGAGCCACAGCTCGAGGCTTGGCCCTAAAGTACACAGCTTTCATTTCCCTGCTCATATCTGCCCTGTGAGGTCCACACAGCATTGACAGGATACAGGGACTTGACTGTTATTTTATACATTGAAAACTCAGTTTTCATCTTAAAAGGAGCATTGGCAGTTTACTTCATTACTCTTGTTTGTTAGTATTTTCTTTTTAAGTGGAATGTTAGTGTTATTATGATGTTAATTTTACAATCCTCTTCTAAATAGAAAGCCAAGGCCTTGGCTACTAATACCTGGGGGCTGTGACCTCTTTCCCATCGCCCTTCCTGGTACTGTGGAGTCAGACTGGCCTGAAACCACTAACTGCATTCTAGAATCACTAGCCATGAGTCGTGAGCTTTCTATTAATCATGCCAAACGTAATTTAACAGGCCAGAGAATGGTTGCCACCCAGGTACCTGTGAAAAGTACTAGCTGTTATGTGTGATCGACTCATCTTGGCTCTTCTTCCATCTCTAGAAATGTACAGATGGGGTCATCCAAATGCACATTGGTCACACTGAGCACCTCCCATATCATTGTTCTCAGACAAGCTTTCAGACAAATGGCTTTTTTGGTGTCAAAATTGTAAGCAAAAAAATTCCAATTGAAACATTCCAACCCTTTCATTTAATATGGAGCAAAACATCCAACAAGCAAATGAGTAGATTTGAGAGAATTCCTCATGATGACTCTTTGTGGATTGTAGGGCCTCAGGGCTGTTGGAGACACACACAGCACATCATGCTGGGTAGAAGAGTGTCATTGCACTCGTGTGCAGTGTGCAGTGCAGGGGTGTAGCAGGCATAGGTGATGGGTGGTGGCAGTAAGTCAGCTGTCAGAAGCCACACGTGGCTTGTTAATGGCTGTCCTTAAGGAGCCACAAAGGCAGACTGCCCGTGCCACATTCTGCCTAATATCTAGACCTTTCAGAGGAGACTGTTGGATCTTTATTTGCTTATGTTACTACGGTTTTTAAATTGGTAACTTTTATATGGTATGGTAACAGTATGTCAATAAACACGTACATATGCACACATGCTTTGGGTCTTTCCATAATACTTTTATATTTGTAAATCAATGTTTTGGAGCAATCCCAAGTTTAAGGGAAATATTTTTGTAAATGTAGTGGTTTTGAAAAACCTGAACAGTCCTTTGCTTATACATTTTTAAAGCATTTGTGCTTTAAAATTGTTATGCTGGTGTTTGAAGTACAGTGCTCCTGCAGTGCAGATGAGAAGCATGAACAGCAGAGTAAATAAATACGTGGTTTCTCTGCCTGTGATCCAGTGCCACCTGATGGATCAGAAAAGACTGGAGCCAGCATATTCTCAAGGGTTGCACCAGGTTTCCTTAAAGCTCGTTGCCTTTTTTTTTTGTGTGCTGTTTCTCCGTGTAGAGCACTGAAGAAAGTTCTCAAACTGCTTTGTAACTGCTTTGTACTGTTGGTGCCTTCTTGGTATTGTACCCCAGAACTCTGCATAGATTATCTAGTATAATGGTAAGTTAAAAAAATGTTAAAGGAAGATTTTATTAAGAATCTGAATGTTTATTCATTATATTGTTACAATTTAACATTTATTTGTGGTATTTGTGATTTGGTTAATCTGTATAAAAATTGTAAGTAGAAAGGTTTATATTTCATCTTAATTCTTTTGATGTTGTAAACGTACTTTTTAAAAGATGGATTATTTGAATGTTTATGGCACCTGACTTGTAAAAAAAAAAAAACTTCAAAAAAACTTAGAATCATTAAATTGTGTCCCTGTATTACCAAAATAACATAGTACTGTGCATGTATAGTTTAATTGGAATTTCATATGTAAAAATATGAAATTGTCTAGTCCTTTATTACAACATTTCCCAAATAAGTGTGTCTTCCTAATTTAACTGCTTATAGTAATTACTGCGAGAGTTAGAAACTGCTCCTCAGGGAGTGTGGTGGGTAGCAGTGTTTCGCCGGGTTTTGCCAGGCTGTTCTTTAGACTAGAGTATGGCGGGGAAAGGACAACAGTGCTGGGGTCCTGCCACGTCTCTGACTGTAAGCAGCCCTGGCACTAAGGCAGAGGTCTGGGCAGCTCCTTTTGTCAAACCAAGAAGTCATGAATGTATTGAGGGCATTTAGTTCTTATCAATATTGGACATTGTTCAGTGACTTACTTACAAGACAGAAATATTGGAAAGTATTTTGATGCAGTGTTTTAGGAAGAGCGTAGGCTTTGGGCCCATAAAACAGGTTCCACACCTCCCCCTCTGCTGCCAGCTGTAGCTGGTGTTGGTTGGTCACCAAACTGCCCTTCCATCTTTGCACTTCATCCCCAACCATGAAGTGGAGCCAGTGCCACTGCCAAGCATGTGCTGAAGGTTATACAGCTACGTCTAGAGTGTTTAGCATAGCACTCAGTAAACAGCCAGTCTTCCTAAATGTGCTCTTATCTTTAAACTGTGTTGTATAGTGGCACTAAGGGTCTGCTACCTGAAGTAACTGCTTTCTGTTAAGTCTGAGAAAGGAAGACCCATCAGAAACCACCTCCAGAGAAGGGTTGATCCAGCCTGAACTGGACGTTTTTGATGGGTATTTGAAACACTTTTGAAGCATAAAAGCATTATTTTGTTTGCTTTCTCTTTAAGAGATTAACATTCTCCACTGTTGTCCAAGTCCTATAGAAAGCGATTAAGATCATTTTCCTTGTTCCATGTGGGAGTCTGATGCTCACATTTTTCCACTTTAGTTATGATGACTCCTTACCTTAGCAGTGGCAGTACAGACCACCAGCTGGCTGCTCAGATTGCTGTGTTTGATCGGAACCCAAGCAGCCAGAGTGGGCTGGCTGGGAGGAGTGGAAAACACCCAGGGCATGGGGCACTGGGCTGTGGACGGGACACGTCTCTGTCTTCCAGACAGCCCCTAAACATTTTGTGAGTCTCGGAGAGGAGGGGAACGGAAGGGAGAAGACTTCCACCACACAGAGACTAAGAAGGACTGTGTTGAGTAGCTCTATGGTCATTAGTCTGTGTGGGTCCACAAATGTGGATCGAAAAGCTGAGTGATTTTAACAGGAATGTGAGAAATGGCCATTCTACGTCTACGGGCAGTCTCGTGTCTGAGAGGATGATGAAGATCTCTGGGCTGTCCTCATCCCCTTCACATGGGCTTGAAGCCACCACAGTACTGCAGGCATGCCCAGAAAGTAAGTGGGAGGCTTCATGTTTTGACATTAAATGCATTTCACATCACCTAGGAAAATCCTGTTTCCTTCTTCCCTTCTTCCTCCATTTCCTGGTTTGTACTTGCCTCTCCAAAATCAAGTGCTAGGAATCGTTTATACAATGTTCAGTGTTCACCGTGAGGCCCACAGGCTCTCCCTTCACCACCTGGGCTAAGCTGGGGAAGAGGAAGCCTAGTTGCCCAGCTCGAGGGCTCAGAGCAGCATCTGGGCCAGAGGAGGGTGGAGGGAGATCTTGAATTCCTTGGCCAGAAGGAGTAGGGAGGCCACCTCTCTGTTTTGAGTAAGACCAGCTTTGGAAAAGGTAGGAAACTTGGTCCTGAGGTGGGAGGGGATAGGAGGGCAGAGGGCAGTAACCTGTGGGGGGAGGGGGAACATTGTACAAAACTGTTAAGCCCAGGAAGAGGCACCGAGGAAGATTTTGCAACATGAAGACAAGGAGTCTGCGTGGACGGGCAGTGTAGCGGGCGCAAGCCCACTGTCCTCCAGGCACTGCACGCACAATGAAGTCAGCGTGCGGTCAGGCTGGGGCCCAACAGTCAAGTCACTGTTCCCAGATAGCTGAGGCCCCTTTTTCTTGTCTCATCCCCAGAAAATGCTGCTACTTCCTTTCCAGAGTTGCCACTACTTCCTTTTAGAATGCGCTCATGTCAAGTGTTACCATTCCCTGGGCCATGGGGGTGGCTAGACTTCATCAGCTGGGAAACGGGGTTCTAAGGTTGCACCCCTACACAGGAGCCAGGTGGTCGTGCAAGACCAAAGGAGAGACACCATGATGGTGAAATGTGGAGACAACACCAAGAAACTGACACCAATTTCTTTTTAAAGAATTTTAAAAAACAGCTTGCTTTTGAAAGTTTTTGCTGCTCTTGTACACCCTGCAGCAATGGTTTTCAAAGTTTCAGATATTTTTAGCACCAGTACCCTTTCATGAAATGAAATCAGTAAGAGTTCACCTGCTCTGAGTAAGCAAGGGTGAGTCGGCCCAGCACCCCTACCTGTCTGCCTCCCACAGAATCCTGTGACATTGCAGCTGTATAGGAACACAAAATACTATTAGAAACAAACCATAGAAGAGCAAACATTTAAAAGAAAAGACTGAGCAAGTGGAGAAACAGACCAAGGCCACAGAGAACTGTAACACTCAACAGTGGGCTGTGGGGGCCCAGGGGACAGCAAGGCCAGCAGCAGGGGAGTCACTGTCAGGTCAGCAACTGGAGGGCCTGGTGAGTTCCCCTGAATGCTGTTTGAGTAGGATAGGTAAGGTCACCCTCCTAGTTCAAAAGGAAAAATTGAGACTGAAAAAGTCATACAAATAAAGGGGAGACAATGAATGATGAGAAAGATGAATTTCTAAGCCAGCGGAGACTCAATACCCAGTATTGATGCCTGTCTCATGTGCCAAGCCCATGCAACATGCTTCAGATATTGCAGTAAATGTAACATTGGGCTGCCCCCATGG